CCCGAAACGTCAGCCTTCCTGCTCCTATGATGCTGTTTGGCCTGCTGTGTTCATCTAGCTCTACACCTTGTTATCTCAGATTCTCCAGCATCTGCAGTTCCCACTGTCTTTGTATCCAACTTGCCAGCTCAACTTGATCCAATGAGACTCTACCTATGGTACTAGCCAGCTATTAGTTACCTTATCAAACGCCTTACTAAAGTCCATTTAGACAACATCCACTCCTCTTCCCTCATCAATGATTCTTATCACCTTCTCAAAAAACTTAATCAAGTTGGTGACACATGACCTTCCTTGCACAAACCCATGCCATCTATCACGAACAAGTCCATTTACTTCCATATGTGAATAAATCCCTGACTCTCAATATCTTCTCCAACAGCTTCCCTACCACTGACGTTAGGCTCACCAGCCTGTAATTACCTGAATTATCTCTGTATCCCTTCTTAAACAAAGGAACAGTGTAGGCCATTCTCCAGGCCTCCGGAACCTCGCCTGAGGCCAAAGAGAATTGCAAAGATGTCTGTTAAGGCTCCAGCTATTTCCTCTCTTGCCTCCCACTGTATTCTGGGGTAGATCCCATCTGGCCCTGGGGACTTGTCTACCTTAATGCATTTCAAAATACCCAATGTTTTCTTCTTCATTATGTTGACATGCCTGAGAGTATTCACACACCTTTTCCTAACCTCAGCATCCCTCACATCCTTCTCTTTGGTGAATACCAATGCAAAGTATTCATTAAGGATCTCACCCATTTCCTCTGGCTCCATACATAACCTCCTTCCTTTCTTCTTGAGTGGGCCTACTCTTTCCTTAGTTACCCTCTTGTTCCTAATATATGTATAAAATGCCTTGGGATTCTCCTTAACCCTGCTGGCCAAGGACATTTCATAGCCCCTTTTAGTCCTCCTAACACCCCATTTGAGCTCCTTCCTACTTTCTCTATATTCTTTAAGGACTTTGTCTGTTATTACTTGCCTGGGCCTTTGGTAGCTTCCTTTTGTTTTGACTAGGCTGATATTTTCCCCTATAATCCAAGATTCTCAAATCCTGCTATTCCTGTCCTTCATTTTCACGGGAACATGTCTCTCCTGCACTCTAATCAACTGGTCCTTAAAATATTCCCATATGTCAGGTATAGATTTACCATCAAACAGCAGCTCTGAATCCACATTCTCAAATTCTTGCCTAATTCAGTTATAGTTGGCTTTCCCCCAGTTTAATACCTTCATCCAAGGTCCACTCTTGTTCTTTTCCATAAGCATCCAAAACCTTACAGAATTTATGGTCACTATTTTCAAAATGCTCGCCCACTGAAACTTTGATCACTTGGCCAGGCTCATTTCCCAATATCAGGTCCAGTATGGCCCCCTTTCCTTATTGAATTACCCACATAATGTTTCAAAAAACGCCCCCTGGACACGCCTAACAAATTACTCCCCATCCGAATCCCCGGCACTCAGGGAGTCCCAGTCAATATGGGGTAAGTTAAAATCATCCTCCACGATAATGCTGTCATTTTCATATTTTTCCAGAATCTGACTACATAGCTCTCCCTCTATCTCCTGCTGGCAGCTGGGAGGTCTGTAGTACAATCCCAGCATTGTGATTGCACCCGTCCTATTCCTGAGCTTCACCCATAATGCCTCACTGCAAGATCTCCCCAGGGTGTCCTCCCTCAGCACAGCTGTGATGTGCTCCCCGACCAGTAATGAAACTCCCCACCTCTTTTGTTTCCTCCTCATTTAAGACATTGATAAAGTTTGCTTGTTTAAAATATTGGATGTGATGAACATTAGTAAAATATGTTCTGTATCAGCTAACCTGAGTGTGAGTAGCAATATTGTTCAAGTTTGGAAAGTTGGTGCAAAATGTTTTCAAAAACTTCATAAGTGACATGTCTTTGTTCACCAGTAAAGGAATGGCCAAGACACTGTGAAAATATCCCTCTAGCTTTGCATTGTTGCCCTAAGATCATAGAATCCCTACAGTGTGGAAACAGGTCCTTTGGCCCAACAAGTCCACACCAACCCTCAGAGCATCCCACCCAGACCCATCCCCCATCACCCACCTAATCTACACATCCCTGAACACTGTGGACAATTTAGCATGGCCAATCCACCTAGCCTGCATGTCTTTAGACTGTGGGAGGAAACCCCACGCAGACACAGGGAAACTCCACACAGACGGTCGCCCAAGGGTGGAATCAAGCCCAGGTCCCTAGCGCTGTGAGGCAGCAGTGCTAACCACTGAGTCACCATGCTGCCCCAAAACTGCAAAGTATCCATTTATGTCAAGGATAAACGGTTAGACTCACCATATGAGGTGCATTGGTTATATGTCTCTGGGTAGGATTTCCATAGGACCCTATCACACCAAGAAGGAACATTTATTCTTATCTATAATAAAGACAAAAGACAAAAGGTTTGATTAATAAGCTTAAATGTGTCTTCAACTGATATTAACCTATGAGTCTAAAGTTACTTCCTTCCTTCTTCTCACCCTTCTTAAATGATGAAGCAACATTTGCAATTTTCTAACTAAAAAACACATTTCACAGATCAAGAAAGCTTTGAGAAATTAAGACAAATGCATCTGTATTTCCCTCACCTGATTCTTCTAATGTTCTGGATTAGAAAGCCACAGGTCTTAGAGGCTTTTTTGCATTAAGTCCCATTACTGTCTTTCTTATTCATATTAGATCTAGATAATCCTTCCCTTTGACTTATTTTTAGGTTCCCTTCTATTTCTGGTTGTTTGCCCTCTTTCAATACTGTGAAAACAAAGTCAAAATACTCATTAGCAAGTTTGCCACTTCCTTACTGTTCATTATGGTTTTGCAGACTTCAACCTTAAATCGGCCCATTGTACCTTTCTTGAATCTCTTAACATATTTTCAAACACCTTTGCTGATAACTTTAATGTCCTTCACAACACTTTCTTCACCTGTTATTTTGTTTTTTAGAAACTTTTTCTTCTTTTTATAGACTTCACAACTTGCTGGATGCATTAGTTTTGCTTTTGTTAAAACTAATAACTTAGTGCTCTTCCTGACCTCATTTACTAATCCGTGTTGCTAAATCGCATGAGTGGAATCTTTGCCTTTTAGGAATATATTTTGATTTTGTCCTATTTGTATTTAGTTTACCCATTGACAATCTACTGCAGACAATTCATTCCTTATGCTGCTAAAGATTGTCTTGCTTAAACTTAAATCTGCAGTTTGAGACTTGTTACAATCCTAGTTTATGTTATTACAGAACAGGTCTGAAATATGGCTTAATGGACCATATTTTTCTTTTATTTGGGTTTTAGCAAGGTGGTCTTTCACTGAAATATTAGCACACTATTCTTCAGATTTGATATCAACAATAAAACAGGAATGTATTTTGCAAAAGAAATTAAGAAAAAATACAACATATTTTCATATAACACAAGTTTAAAGGTTTTGATACACATGATAAGATATAATCCCATTATTTTCAAGTGTCCTTACATGAGAGAGAATTTGCTTATGACATCTACACAGTTTAACTAAACAGATGTTTCAATTTCTGGTTTTGAGAATCTGATAGCTTCTTTCTTGAGTATTCACAAAATTGAGATTAAACTTTCTCAGTTTCAAGTAACCCCTTAAGTATTTAACCAAACACTTCTGTGTCTGGAGCTTGCAAACTAAACTGCTCACTCTCAGGTAGTCTGTTACTCAACAGTTCTAATCTAGCCCCTTTCTTCAGGAGCAACTGTTTGATATAAGCAGGACACAAGCTATGGGTACTTGTTTTAAACTAAAAAAAGTTACAATTCCAGCTCCTTCTAACTGAAGTCTAATGGACTACACTGATCACTCTGTTCACTTATAGGAATTTTCCCAATGTCAACAAATTTGCACTAGCCTCCAAGAACTATCAGATTGTATTTTTAAAAAATGGGTCATGGCTTCACTAAACATTACAAGTTCATTATGTACCCCCTTCAGGCACACAGACCAAAATCCACACACCACTAGTTTGAAACAAACTCAGACATGACATTAAAATGTATACATAAATCACACACCTTATTTAGACTCTCTAGCTTCCCTTGTCACATTCAATCATGTTATGACCGTTATTTGCCAGATGTTCCCTTACCAACTATTTCCAAGATATTCCTATAATGTCCAAAATCTTTTCTTGTAAGCTCAAAAACAACACTTTTTAATGCAAATTAAAATCAGATGGAGGTTAAAGATGAGCTGACCCCTCAGTTCCGTGGATGCCATTGGGGTAGGGATGGGGGGATGCAGGTGGTGGACAAGGGTCTAGGTTAAAATTTTTCAACAAAACTGTCTCAGTTATGTTTTAGAAATTAATTGCCCTCACTATTGGAGCTGTACTTCTTCTCCCACTCAATGTTAAAGATTAAATCACCTATTGAAGAATGGGATCATCCTCTTCTTGTATTCCCTACTGCATCATTGCTATCAGGTAGTCTGTAGGTAACTCCTTCCAGAGTCTTGCATCCTTAGCTGTTCCTTAGCTCTATCTAATGGCTATTCCACTGCTGGGTCACCCTACTAGAATCCTTTACTTCTACTGCTACCATTAAATATTTTATCAATGTAGCTATTACTTGCATCCTTTCCCAATTTCTCAGTCCTTTCTAAAGATTTGATATTTAGCCCTTTATCATGCTCAGTTTGTAGGCAGGTCTCTGCAATCCCATCATACCATGGAAGGTAAATCTGTTCTTCAAATTCGATGAATGTATTTCTTATGCTTTTGAAAGTCCTAACGGTCTTCATGATACCTCAAAGCCCTCTCCATCATTTTCTCACAAAGGGGGAAATTAGCAAAATAATCAGGAACAAAAACAAAGTTGCTGGAAAAGCTCAGCAGGTCTGGCAGCATCTGTGGAGGAGAAAACAGAGTTAACATGTCGGATCCGGTGACACTTCCTCAGAACTCTTTTCTGAGGAAAACAGGTGACCTTTCCTCAGAACTCTTTTCTGAGGAAAACAATGTTCTGAGGAATGGTCACCAGACCCGAAACGTTAACTCTGTTTTCTCCTCCACAGATGGGGTCAGACCTGCTGAGCTTTTCCAGCAACTTTGTTTTTGTTCCTGATTTACAACATCCGCAGTTCTTTTGGTTTTTATTTAGCAAAATAATCAGCCTGATGGTACTCACCCCAGTGGTTTTATGTTTTTGCCACGAGTAAATGTCTCTGGTATTTCGCTCGTATCGATAGGTAGGAGGGAAAGTGATTTCTTCCTCACCTGAGAGATGTGAAAAAGAAGGTTGAGAACACAGTGCCACAGTTTAGAGCCTTTTGTAAGTGTGCAAGTATGGGATGGTTATTGTTTCAGCTCTATAGCCTTCAGCTTAGACCTGAGCTCCGCACACTGCCATAATGCTAAGGCAGAATTAAATGGCCTGCAACATAAGCTGTACCTCCCTTTTGCTTAATAGACAGGGCAGTCAAGGGTTACAGACAGACAAGTAAGTGGAAGTGAAACCATAACCTGATCAACCACCATCTTATTGAATGCCAGAGCAGGTGCAATGGCTGTGATGAAGTGGAATGTCATTGGATGAATAATCCAAGATACCAGGTTAATGTTCTGGGGATATGGGTTTGAATATTATCAAGGCAATTGGTGAAATTTGAATTTTAGTACAAAATCTGGAATAAAAAGACAGCTGCAAGGCAGCCATGTAACCACAGCTAATTGCAGTAAAACACCCATTTAGTTTGTTAATGTCTTTTAAGAAAGGAAGTTGGCCACAACAGCAGAGAATACTGGAGAAACTCAGCAGGTCTGGCAACATCTGTAGAGACAGACAGACAGAGAGAGAGACAGAGAGAGAGAGAGAGAGAGTTAACACTTTGAGTTCAACATAACTATTCTCCAGAACGGGCTCAAAATATTAACTCTGTTTCCATCTCCACAGATGTTGTTGGACCTGTTCAGTTTTTCCAGCATTCTCTGTTTGTTTCAGATTTCCAGCATCCACCATATTTTGCTTTTATTAATAAGAAATTGGCCATCCTTACCTGATCTGCCCTACATGTGACTCCTGACCCATAGCAATGTGGCTGACTTTTAACTGCTCTTTGGGCAACTAGGGATGGACAGTAAATGCTGACCAAGTCAGCAATGCCCATATCCCATGAACAAATCAAAAAAGAAAAAAATATATCCAGCTTTTGGAACCCAAACTGAATTTCACATCACCACAATCTTCAGGCTTAAAACCGTTTTACAGTACTTTTCCAAATTTAATGGCATTCGCACTTCAAAAATATTCCTCCCTTGGAAAAAATATAATTTTGATCTGTGGTGCTATTTGACATGAAGAATTAATCCATTAAACACTACTATTTATCAACAAAATATCTGACTATTCAACCACTAACTGTCAACAGGGCATATGTGGACTACACATCTGAAATTGTGGAAGGGTTAGTGTTGGGTTCTACTGAACATTTCCTGTAACTTTGGAAACCCAAAGAAATAGTATAAAAGCCATTTATGCCAGAGTGGTAGTTTAGGTATTTTACAATAACATGGAGAAATTTAATACATTTCAATCATCAGAATTTACTTACAGAATTTCAGAAACACCTTTCTTTTCTCTTGCTCCAAGTTCAGTTGGTCTACACTCAGTAATGGCTCAAACTCCTTTTTGCTGATGTGACTTAAAATATCCTGAATGATAAAGTATTGGATTTAGAAGTCTTTCAGTATTGTAATATGTGTCATTGAGTTTCCCCAAAAGGTCAATTTGTGCTTTAGTACCACAACCCTGCCCATTGTAATCATTTTATCCACTTTCAAGTCTCATCCACTCATCCACCGGTAAATTTTCACAGATAGCAGTGGATAAATAGTCTTGGAGGCAAGACCAAAGGTGGTAGAGCTGGCAATTTCCAGTTACCAACTGGTATGCTGGATTGATGGTATATTTCTGCCTTCAGACTGTTTCGGCGCAACCTACTTTAAAGATGGTGGCAGATAATCATCTGCAATTCAAGGGTGGCCATTTAAGCCAATTAAAGTGCCTACTAAGGCCACTCTTCATTGTCAGCTGAATTGGAATTTCATCAGATTTCCATCTTGAGTACTAAAATATGGATATAAGCATTTCACCAGCAACTTCCATCAATCTATTTTCTGGAAGGAGATCATAGGTAAATATGCTACACACTGTCAAAATTGAAGAAATTTCACTCTTTATGTCCATCTTAGGCTTCACACCAGCTGCCAAGTAGCATGACTTCTACTGACACCTGCAGGATGGCCCAACCCTTCAGAGCCACAAGAAAATGGAAGTTTTAATAATATAGTAATAGTCGCTCTAAGAATATTACAGAAATGTTCAAAATGATAACTTTAATAATAAAAATTGAAATGATGAACCTAAGGTGCCCAAAGGATTTTCTCCATTTCATCTTCAAGGAACCCTGTAGCTCTTACTGAATATAACACAGATACAGCACAGTCAATTGTTCATTGTGCTCCAGGCGGGTTTTACTTAGGTCCCATTGCTCCTTCAGGCATGGGTGTTCATGGTGACAATCCTAGCCCTGAATATATGAAGCCTTATGCCCATTAAATAAATAAGATGGTTTTACAAGATAAACAATTAGGTCATTTCAAAGCCAGACCTGGCTGAAAAGGGAAGGAAACCTTGGGTATTCATATCTCATAATTGGAAGATTGAATCGGAAAATCTACTTGAATAAATGAGTGTCTGGAATGAGACACCCATAAGTCCCCTAAAAATAAAGCATGTAAACAGGCAGTTTATGAGAAAAAAAAATGGAGGCAGGTAGGAAGCTATTCAAGGTTGCTAGCTTTCGCCTAATATGCCTCTCAGCCTAAAGGCATAGAGGAGTTAGTTATAACAGGCAAATGAGTGAATGCCATTGCATCTGTCTGAATGCTGGACTGGTAAACCTTCACTATCATGGGTTGTATGTTCATCATATCCATTCTGGTTATATGATGTGTTTGAACTAATGCTCTTCATTAAACCACATGAAACATTTAAACTAAACCATTTGTGACTCCCCAACTTGATTTGGATGCAGAGGTTCCGTGAGAGTTTGGATTACTCAATTAACTTGGCAGGTAACAACTCTGGAAATTGACACAAGAGACAAGTAAATAGATTGCTGGATGAAGAGAGCTAAGGGATGCAGTGAGAATTCAGGAAGGTCAAAATACAAGAAAATAAAAAAAAGGGAATTGGCCTTTTCCACATGTTCCTACAAAGTTTTATTTTCCTGAAACATGGATTCCAATAAAGAAGATGATCCATACCTGGATGTCCATATCCAGACGATAATTAAGATCTCCAAACCAGAAAATATGAGTGAAGCGTAGAGCAATATCAAACGAGCTGAGCTGCTTATCCCCCAATGATAACAAACGGAGTATGTCCAAGTAATTCTGGTTTCGCCTAAAACAGAATCAATTATAGAAGATTACAGCCAAGGAATAGCAGGCAATTCAGTCTCAGAATCATAAGCTGAGAAATTCAACTCGTACGGAAGACAAGTGGAAAGTCACTGAAAAAATGCCACAGGAAATATTTACTTTAAATTATTGTCACCCTGGGAGATGCAAAATATCTCCAGCTCGGTGGCAACTATTAGCAGTTCTCCCCATTCTCCGACTCAGATTATCAGCAGGCTTAATGTAGGAATCATATTTAATCCAGTTTTCCCTGATTAACTTGCTAATTTTACAGAATGGCTTAGGCCTGATGCTGAAGTTGCCTTGTGCGCCACACCAGTGTACCAAGATAGTTCTGTTCTCATTTTGCAACCAAGTTTGAAAACAAGTTAAACTTCCTAGCCAGAAATTTCTGAAGAAGGGTCCCGATCCGAAACGTCAGCTTTCCTGCTCCTCCAATGCTGCCTGGCCTGCTGTGTTCCTCCAGCTCCACACTGTGTTATCTCTGACTCCAGCATCAGCAGTTCTTACTATCTCTAATGTAATGCTTTTGCTTAATGAGAAACTGGCTCTGACTGGCACTGAAGGCTCCATCATACATTCATTCTTCCCCAGCACTGAGTGTTTGGTCCCAAACCAAATAGAGATCAGGTACTTCTCCACAGTAAGGAAAATTTAGACATGGTTTGTGTCTAGCCTGTTCAATGTGACTGAACCTACATTCTGGTTCCATGTATTGCTTTAAATAAAGAGCAGTTGACTGAGCTGCAAAATTTCGGATAAATTTCACTGTGAATAGGGATTATGCATCGAAAAACATTGAATTTATGTTATACAACAGACAGATGTCTGAAACAGGTATTGGAGAATGCGGTTTATATGAATATCGCATCTCATTTAGAGAAATAAGAATCAACCCTCCTGGCACATTTTACATTCAGCCATGCTATCCTTCAAGTAGATGGGCATTCACAGACTTAGTCAGCACTGCAACATTCATTCAGCTGAAAACCAGGAGGTAATTTCCACTTCAACTGTTTCTATCACACACCAGGAGAACATATGAGGAAATATTACATCGCAGCCTGTGATTTTCTTTTTTCCATTCATTAACGTTAATAGACAGGAAATTATAGTTACCTCTGAAAATCCCACCTTATGTTTTGCGATGTAATATTTCCTCATATGTTCTCCTGGTGTGTGATAGAAACAGTTGAAGTGGAAATTACCTCCTGGTTTTCAGCTGAATGAATGTTGCAGTGCTGACTAAGTCTGTGAATGCCCATCTACTTGAAGGATAGCATGGCTGAATGTAAAATGTGCCAGGAGGGTTGATTCTTATTTCTCTAAATGAGATGCAAAATGCGATTGCAAAACATGGTCTGACATTGTTTAGTTGTTGAAATAAATAAATGCATGTACCTGAGGACTTTTTCACTACCAGATGTCAAGTGACAGTTGACAAAACCCAGGGACGTTCCATTAAATAAGAATGAAACTCCAACGGCACCTTTATTACCTACAGAGAAAAGTAAAGTAAGACAAAAAAGAAAACAGGTTTTGGCTAGTCAGCTACAGAAAATGAAACAGGTGTGTTGAAAATACGGAATGGGCTCATTTTTACATAATTTCCAATTTCCTTTCCCAACAGAAAAACTGGTGTCATGTGTTACAGTCCATCAGTTCACTGTCAAATATTGAAAGAACCAGCTGCTTGTGTGGACCACAGCTTTCCCAGAATATTTCGACAAGTCCCAAGGCTCAGTTTAATCATGAATGCAAACACAAATATGGACCAGATTAATATCTATCCAAATGAGTTTTATTCAAATTCTTTGGAAACAGACTGCGAATATGGATGTGTTAAGAAAGAAAATTCATGGTCACTATTAGACAAGCATTTAATTTCAGGTCTATTAATTAAATTTAAATTCCTGCAGCTGTCAGGCTGGACTCATGTCTAAGAGCATCAGCTTGGGCCTCCAGATTCCAGGTCCAGTGACATTACCAATAAGCTGCACCAGGGCTTTCCACCCATCTTCCATCAACGTTGAAGTGGGGTTTGAAAAGAACAGCTGTGGAAATTTTAGGAATAACTATCTAACTTTACATAGTTATTTTGATATTTAAAAAAAGCTCTGATAAATTGTGCTTAGTAAGGTGTGTATCATCAGTTCATTCCAGTTCACTTCTAATTCTACTTCCGAAAAGGAAGTGTTCCCATCAACTGTTCAACTCAGGGCATTTTCTACATCACAGTGACTTACCAAATGTATTTGCTATTCCCGTTTTAACACTGGACATATTGATGTGACTGACTCGGTTCTCATGGTCTGGTTTGATCAACACTGCAATTTTAATACTCCATAGTGAATGTGTGGCAACCTGCAATACAGACACGTTATTGAGCAGCACAACAACGTAATAGAGACAGTGACAACTGAGTAAGCCCGTACACATTTTAGTAAATTCCAGCCTCTTTCCATTGACTCAGATCAATTTCAGATCAGTTACGTGACAGTAAATCAACAATATCCCATTGACTCAAATGTCATAAATATAATTATTGCTGGAATGATATCACTAAAATGTACACTATCATCTACAGATGTGATTGTGGATGCTTCTAATTGGTGGACAATTGCCAAAAATACTTCATGTTCATGAGTTTGGTACTAGGGATGACAGGACTGTGATAGGAGAAGAGCTTGATTCAACTGGGTCTGTGTTCACTTGAGCTTGGAAGAATGAGAAGGGAATAAGATTCAAACAAATAAAATTTTAATAGAGCTAGAGAAGGGAGGATGTTTCCACTGGTTGGAGAGTCTAGAATCAGTCTCAGGATACAAGGTAGGCCATTTGTGACTGAGATGAGGGAACATTTCTTCACTCAGAGCGTGGTCAACTTGTGGAATTTGCTACCACAGTAGACAGTGGAGGCCAGTCTACTGAATATATTCAAGGAAGAGATTGATAATTTTTTCGTTATTAAAGGCATCAAGAGAAAGCAGGAATATGGCATTGAGATAAAGAATCGACCACAATCAGATTGAATGATAGAGAATGTTGGAAAGGGTGAATAGCCTACTCCTTTTCCTAGTTTCTATATTGATGCATGCCTTTTGCTCCTGCTAGTTGGATGCACCAATGTAACTACGGCTGTACCAGTCATTGACAGAGCTCTGAATGGGTAAAATTCCACGAATTTACAGAGCTGTCACATCATCTGAAATATTAACAAAAAAGCAACATAAATTGGCATGATGTGTGACTAATTTGAATTGTGGATCACCCCCATGAACAGTACCTGCCAAAATCACTTTGTCAAAAGTGCCAATACAGCATGTTTGTTTCAGCTATATTATTACATGAGGACTATCAATTTGGTGCCAACAACTAATGTGCTTGAATAGAATGAGTTGTTGTCAATTATGCATTTGTTCAAATTGCTTGGCACTTCATATCCTATATCTCTGCATTTAATGCAAATTCTCTTTTGTATCTGCATATAGAAATCTCAAGGAAGCCCACTGATTTAATTCAATTTGTTAATTGTGTTAACCTTCACTTATGATCTGCTTGCATTTTGCTATTACCATCTGTTATTCAATTTGAATACCAACTTAAAATACAAACAGGTGAAAGTAGGCAACAAATTATTACTCACAGATTCCTGTTATATAAACTGACACATTTTTGTTATGCTATCAAAGTTATAATTTCCCTGGAATTTGAATCCCTACCACTTTGAAGTCCAACTCTGTTACATCTTTTATCCCAGCTCTCAGGAAATCCACCCATTCCTTGTCGCCTAGCGAGTTTTCCTGGGTCCCAATCACATAGATATCATGGGGTATAGTGGCTGTTGTTTCATCTCTTGTACGCCCAAGACCTTTTGACATCAGCCAAGAAGCAATGCTTTTTGGAGGATTAGCAGCACCTGTAAAGTATTTCAAAAGATCTTCCATTATTGAATTGTTCATTTGATTTCTCAAATTAATTTTTCACATGATTCCCTTGAATAATGTGTTTTTGCCTGAAAAGTCATGCCAGTACCTTGACTTTTCTCTCCCTTCATTTTTATGTGCCATTTCTCAATCACTTTTGCCTGGAAAAAGGCAGAAATTGGACTGAAATAGTATTTCAGAGTTTTTTGTTGGCCAACTGCAACACTTCTCTTCAATTGTCTTCATCCCTTTAAAAATATCACTTGCAAGCAAATTTCCATCACCACTGATAGTGTTCACCTAAAACCTGCTCAAATTTGTAGCTAAACCTAAATTACACAATTGCTGACTATTGTGGCTTGATCTCTATTGGCATATTGCCCTTAGGTTGTGAACGTTACTATTTCTTAACAGTTTACAGGGGACTCAAACTAGTATCAGAAAATTGTTGCAGTATTGTTGGACTTACCGAGAGCAGCCAGTTCCAACAACATTCAAGAAACTTGATGATACTGAGAACAAAGCAGCTCACTTTATTGACATTCACATCCACAAGCACCAATGCACAGTAGCAGGTGTGTAACCTCCACTGAATGCACTGAGGAAATTTATCAAGGCTCCTTTGACAGCACCTTGCAAATCCATGACTACCACCAATTAAAAGGATAAGGCAGGTAAATACATGGAAACATCACCACCTGAATGTTCCCCTCCACGTGAGTCACCATCCTGGCTTAGAAATATATCACTGTTCCTTCATTGTCTCTGAACTCCTCCCTAACAGCATTGTATGTGTATCTACACCAAATAGATTACAGCAGTTCAAGAAGGCAGCTCACCTTCTCAAGGGCAACTTGACATGAGCAACTAATGCTGGTCAAGCCAGCGATGCCCACATCCCATGAATGAATATAAATAAAGGTTCTTCAAAAAAAAAGTATTACACCTGTGGAATTATGAAAAAAAAATTCTATTTATAAAAGAAACAAACTTGCTGCCTGACTAGATCCTGCTCCCTCCAGTGCACCATTGTGATCTCATTGGTGTCATACCCATGCAGGTATACCCGTGGATTCATGCAAAACAAACTTATTTTCTTTAAAACAACATAGAGAATCAATGATCTGTGTTGTGACAAGATGGAGTGAAGATGATCAGGTGGTCTCTCTCATTGTTTGGGGACGAAAAAGAAGTTTCACAAGGTTAGAAATAGCTGACTTGTCTGGGCAGAATGTTAACAATGTAAGTGATAGTTTTGGAACACATTTTTGAGAAGGCATTAAAAATGCAACAGATTTTTCCTGTAGATTTAACAGCTCATATTGTCAATGCCTGCAGAAACTAATGAATAGTAACTACACAGACTCAGTGACAGTGCTGTGAGATTGTCCAGGGTCAGGATGAGTCTAAAGAATTCTATCACAAGGAAAAGCAAACGCTGACAGTCAAATCTCAATGGTAAATTTGTCGGGGAACCATTCATGTGGACAGTAGGAAGGTTGATACTACAATCCCTGACAGAAGCCAGTTTGTGATAAGAAATATTAATGATCACATATCTTGAAAAGCAGTTTCACAAGTATCTTCTCAGTCAGTCCTACAGACAAAGCAACCACGGAAGGAAGAGATCCTGTGTACCCAAAGAAGAACCCTACATAGTGTTCATGAAAAGATAGAGTAGGGGGCTAGCCTTTTACATACAGACTTGTAGAATGAAGCCTAATCTTCACAACAGAGAACTCAGCTATTACTTTGAGTAGAACAGAAATGTGCTGTTGCAAGAAGTGAGCTGTTGTTAATTCATCACCAGAAACTTCCAATCTGTATTTTCTTCAGTGATCCAAAAATCAGGCCTGCAATGCTTTCAGCTTCTATTTTGTAAGGCAAGAGTAATAGTGACTTTATGGACTTTATAAAAATCTACATCTTTCACAATCATCTTTCCTTGTATGCATGTGTCTTATGAATGAGAGATTGAGTGCTGTTGCAAAAAACATTCCACATGATGAAAAATAAACATTTCCTCTTCTTTAAACTTATGAGCAAATTGATCTTGTATCTGTTCTTGAGGGTCACAGTGCTCAAGGGATGAAAAAGCTTCTTCCTTCGCTATCGTTAGTGTGGAAGTGGAAAAGAAACATACTCACCTTTGTGTCTGAGCAGCTTGCAGTTATAGATTGGACTGGCCTAGGGACTGATTCAGAAACACCATACCCAGAAGTTATGCAGCCCATTGAATGTACTGTGCAATTTTCTGATATAATGTTTTTCTAGGTGCGCACAATCCTTCAATAACCTACCCATGTTCCAGGTTCCAATGAAGATCGATATCATGTCTGGTTCATCCTGCTGAGAGTGTATGTTCTTCATCAGCTGAAGGAGCTGGCAGAAAGCTTCACGCTTCTGTAGGGAGAAGTTCCAGGAGTATCGTTATTAGAATGATTAAAAACTTTTGCACAAGTGCAGCAACAAAGAATACCAGCATTATGAAATGCACAAGTCAATTTCACACTCACTGTAGAAAATAACAGCATCTACAACATGTCAAGAACATAGGAACAGGAGTAAGTTATTCAGCTTTCCCACCCTGCTCCACCGTCTTATCTATTTGAACACTTTGCCATTTGCCACCTTATCCCCATAACCCTTTATGCCATCGGTAATCAGAAGTCTATCATTCTCTACTTTAGCATACTCAAAGACTGGACTTTCACAGCTTTCTCAGGGGGACAATTTCAAGATTCAGAACAAAAAGTCCTCTTCTTGGTCCTAAGTAGTATGCCCCTTATTTCTAATTTCTGCCCCATGGTTTTAGCTTTCCAAGCTAAGGAAAGCGTATTATCTGCATTTACCCTGTCTATTCCTTTAAGTTTTTTGTTTTTTTGGTTTCAACAAGATCACTTCTCATTCTTAAAAACTCTTGAGAATACAGGCCCAGTTTGCCTAATTTCTCTTTGTAGGACAGACCCTCCATCCTGGGAACAATCATGGAGTCAGAGTTGTACAGCATGGAAACAGACCCTTTGGTCCAACTTGTCCATGCCAACCAGATATCCTAAATTAATTTAGGTTTGTTTGCCAGCATTTGGCTCATACCCTTTTAAACCCTTTCTATTCAATTACCCATTCCAGGTGCCTTTTAATTGTTGTAATTGTACCAGCCTCCACTACTTCCTCTGGCAGTTTGTTCCATACACGTTTCACTCCCTACATGAAAAAGTTGCCCCTCAGGTCCCTTTTATATCTTTCCCCTCTCACCTTAAACCTATGCCCTCTCATTTTGGGCTCTCCTACCCCAAGAAAAAGACTTGGTTACTCACCCTATCCATGCCCCTCATGATTTTACAAACCTCAATAAAATCACCCATCAGCCTCCAACGTTGCAGGGAAGATAGCCCCAGCCTATTTAGCCTCTCCCTATAGGCCAAACCCTCCAACCCCAGCAACATCCTTGTAAATCCTTTCTGCATGCTTTCAAATTTAACAACACCCTTCCTATAGCAGGGAGGCCAGAAATGAGAACAGTATTCCAAACATGACCGAACCAACATCCTCTACAGCCGCAACATGACTTCCCAACTCCTAAACTCAATGCACTGATCAATAAAGTCACGCCTTCTTCACTATCCTATCTACCCGTGACTCTACTTTCAAGGAAGTGTGAACTTGCACCCCAAGGTCTCTTTGTTCAGCAACATTCCCCAGGATCCTACCATTAAGTGTACAAATCCTGCCCTGATTTGCCTTTCTAAAATGCAATACTTCGCATCTATCTAAATTAAACTCCATCTGCCATTGTATTCCATCTGTAGCAATATGCTTAGGAGGTAAGGAGACCAAAAATGTGTATAATATTCCAAGTGCAGTCCTGACCTATTTTACATGCCCTCCCTCATTGAAGTCACACACAGTCTTGTACGTGATTTACAATTGATGGTATTCCTATAAACTGTGCCCTTGACCTTCTGGTTGTTTGAAGGCCAGAGAGGCTATGGAAAGCTTGACAATGTGCTGCTCTGCATCCTGTGGATCGTACAGACCACAGCTACATCATGGCAAGAATGGATATTTATTTGTTTATGGTGGATGTTGGTTATGGATAATGCTGCAATAATCATAGCACAACTTTTAAGATTGATTCAAACGCCATCATAAATTAACAATGTGAGCAAAAGTTGCCTGAAATGGAAAGAAATCTACACCTATTCAGCAATGACTTCTTTCATCTGGATAATGATTTATTTTAAAATTTTATTTATACAAGTAACCAGAAAAAATCTCACATTTCCACAGAGCTTTTCATAAACACCAGATGTCTCAAAACACTCTACAGCCAATGACGGATTTTTGAACTGCAGTCACTGTTGTAATTTAGGAAACATAGCAGCTGATACACACACAGCAAAGTCACAAAAACTGTAATATGACCTGTTTTAGTGATGTTGATTGAGGTTTACATATAAATAAGGTAGCTCTTCTGCATAAAAGAACAGAAATTGCTGAAGAAACTCAGCAGGTCTGACAGCATATGTGGAGAGAAAATAGAATCAATGTTTTGGGTCCAGTGACTCTTCTTCAGAATGCTGAACTTGAAACGTTGACTCTGCTTTCTCTCCAGATGCTGCCAGACCTCCTGAGTTTCACGAGCAATTTCTGCTATTGTTTCAGATTTCCAGCATCCAAAGTTCTCTGTTTTTGTTCAGCTATTCTGCATAATTACATGGCAAAATCTCTTACATGCAGCCTAGTGGACAAGTGGATCCTTACTTTAATATTTATGTGAAAGATGATACTTCTGACAGTGCAACATTCCTTGGGTACATGAGCTGTTAAGTGATTTGAACCTGAAATCCTGTGATACGAAGGAAGAATAAAAGCAACTAATCCCCTATTCAATACAAGTAAAACAGATTCTGGAAGGTCTTGTGCGCATAACATACCCTTGCATTTTCAAAAATGAAATCCCTCTGCTGATTTTTCTGATTTTCTTTGTCAGTCACAATCTGTAGTGTGTTTGGCGTGCTCTGATATTTAACCAATTGCAAAACTGTAAAGCAAAGAGATTTAAAAAGAATGTCAATGCTCCATACTTATCAGCAGCTTACAGGCCAAACTTAGGAAAGAAGTCTAAAGGTGCTTCATCTCTTCAGCCTAGAATGTAAATCTCTGACAGGAGATCCTGTAGAGATATACTAGATTGTTACAGGTATAGAAGAAGTTAACTCAAAATATGACCTTAAATTCTGAGAGTTAAATAAGAAATTCTAGTTTCAAGTTGGTAAAAGGTACATTCAGAGCTGGTATCAAGAAATTCTGTTTTCACCTAGAGAGATCAATGTGTGAAACAGACTTCTATGTAAATTGGAACAATTATTTCGGACATTGATGTGACTCAACGTAGGGCTATCAGAATGAATAAGTTAAGAAGGGCTAAATATAGCTTCCTTCCGGGTAATTAACTAGCAGCTTTGATGCATGGACTACAGCCAATGAAAACTGAGCAGAAGGCTAGATACTGGGATACTCCAGTTCTGAGGAAGAGTTACTCGATCTGAAACATTAACTCTGATTTGTCTCCACAGATGCTGCCAGACCTGCTGAGCCTTTCCAGCAATTTCTGCTTTTGTTGTTGAGGCTAGATACTGGGCTTGACTAATAACCGACTCTCCTTACTTTTATCGTACAAAATAGATTCCTCGGGTGAACCAGCAGCTTTCTTCGAGATTTGAAGCTTCCCCCCATCCACGTCAACACTCAACGTATATTTCTGAGTTTTTCCAAGCTTTACCTAAAATGTAAAAAGAAACAGGCACTTTTACCTGAGCAAGATCATTTCGCATGACCACTAAGACCCTTCTTTGCTTCACTTGCTGAGTTTGTAACAAGAAATGCACTGCTCAAGTGCTCCTGTGTCACCTTGATTGTAAAGGATTTGATTGATGATTATGATGAACTAGTTGATCTCAGCCAGAATTAATAACAGAAGTTTGCAAACACCATTGATACCACTGGATTAGGAACCATTAAAATCAGTCAGGGTTCCCACTTCTGCTCAGCATCCAGTGACCTCTACTTTGAGCATGAAGTGAGGGGAGGTTTAGGATAATGGTCAACAGAAATGTTTATACAGGCTGATGGTGTACACTTCCTCAATTCAGAAAAGAAAAAAAATGTCAGTTAGGTACAGTGCCAGAGGTCTTGTGCAGCTATAACCCTGCCAAGGTTTTGAACCTTTTAGGGCAGAACAGTCCAATCGGACAAATGATCGTCCTCTGATTCAAAAGGGACTTTGAAAGGTCCATAGCATAATGATGCATGTGCTCATAATGTCATGGACTACTCATGATTGCATGAGTTCAGGATTTTAGCCATGCTATATTAAGGACATGTTGGGGGATTTCTGTGACTCTTGCCATAGAGGGACACCATAGCGAAGAATCATTATTGGACTAAAATCAGGGACTGTGAAATCTGACCTGCCTATCCTATCCCTGAGCAGCAGAGACAATGAATAGCACTGGGAGAAGGATAAAGACCAGCAGGCAATGCCATCCAAACTGCTTTTTTTCCAAACAGTCTTGCTTCACACCTGGTCCAAGCTTGGTGTAGTGACTGGAGATAAACACTCCATTCCCCATAGTATCAATCCCTTTCCATGATAAAAACTTATCGATCAGAACTTGTACTTCTTTGAAAAAAAAAGAAAAGCTTTTTCTCTTTTACCTCAAAGCTCTGAATTGGGATAGGTTTAGATGCATTCCTGCCATTGTTTTCAGGAGAAGTTAAGTGAGCAGGTAATTCCACCCTGTGTGTGACCATCATCTGCTGCAAACCCTTCCACACCTGTCAACAAATAAAACCACAGTGAATGAAGACCACCTGAACTTTGTCTCGAGAATACAAGTGGACTATCTGTATCTTTTCATATTTTGGCATTGATGCACAAACAGTGGCAGCTGGTGACATCGTAAAAGAGCGAAAGAATACTGGGAGGACATTCTAAAGGTTCCAGGATAACTGAAATCGGTCAACAGCGCAGGGAAGGAATGCTGACAGAAGAACATCTCAGATTGCAATCGTTTGACCTCACCCAACTGTAGGGCCATCCTTGGTTCCTCACTGTTCATTTTTGACATTCCCCATTGGTGACAGGATACAATATCCGAAGGTTAGGGAACTGTGCTAGCAACCCGTAGGTTGCAAGTTCAAATTCCATCCAGGCAGGCAATGTTATTGGCTGTGAAACCTGTCTGCCTGTTGGAAAGACCTGTCTGGCTCACAAACATCCTTGGACAAGGGAACTTTCCTGCCCTACCCAGTCTAGCCTACATGTGATCCAAGTTAATTTAATATCCTCAGGATAACTGCGGATAGACTGTGGCTTGACAGCGTTGCCCAACTCCCAAGAACAAATGAGAAATGTCACCAGGGCTTTTTTCAGAAACGCTTTCCTCATAAGCTTCATCAACTGCAATTTATCCAAAATGCAGCTGTTTACATCTTGTCCCACAGTGATACGTGAATTTTGCCAGCAAAGCAGGGTAAACCTCTCCCAGCTGCCCACTGGACCCCCCAGTCACATTATTTCAATGCCAGAAACTCTTGTCTTTGGCCCTCCGGCCACCTCACCTAAGGATCTGCAAGAAATCGAGAAGTGTCAGTTTAACCATGCCACCGGAAGCAATGGGAGGCAAAGGGCTCATCATACTTTTACACTGAGGATTGTTATTGGGTGGGTGGGTAAGGAGCCATGTCATAGTGACGTGAGGTCGCATGGAACTGGTGCCTATGTTTGTTGGGTCCCAGCAGGATGCTCTTCCTTCCTATGCTGGAAGGATGAGAGGAGATCTAATTGAGGTACATAAGATGCTAAAGAGGATTGACATTGATGTTACAGTCAACAAAGCACAACAACTCATTTACTTCCTCAGGAGGCTAAAGAAATTTGGAATGTCCATAAAGACTCTTACCAATTTTTATAGATGCACCAGAGAAAATATCCTATCTGGATGCATCATGGCTTGGGATGGCAACTGCTTTGTCCAGGACCGTAAGAAACTAGAGAATTGTGAGCACAGCCCAGGCCATCACGCAAGCCAACCTTCCATTCATTGACTCCACCTATACTTCTTGCTGCCTTGGGAAGGCAGCCAACATAATCGAAGATCCCTCCCATCCTGGTTATAATCTCTTCCAACCTCTTCACTTGGGCAGAAGATACAATAGCTTAAACACACACACCAACAGATCTAAGAAAAGCTTCTTTCTTGCCGTTATTAGATATCTGAATAGACCTCTCAAATTTTAAATTTAATGTTGATCTCTCTTTTTGTGCTTTCTCTGTAGCCATAACATTGTATTCTTTGCGCTGTTCTACTGCCCTAATGCATTTTCTATGATATGATCTGCCTGTACTATACAAAAAACAAAATTTTTCATTGCACCTAGGTAAATGTGACAATAATAGATCAAATCAAAGTAGACACAGAAAGATGGTTCCTCTTGGTGGACAAATTAGAATGCTAGAATGCAAGGTCATATTTAAAACTGAGACAAGGAAGCATCTCTTCCCTCAAAGGGTTGTGAATCTGTGAAATCTAAGTTGAAAATCTTAAAGGAACACCACCTTCATGACATAACATCATGGAAAATCATTTCCTTTCCAACCTGCTTACAGAAACATAATGAGGTAAAGTAAATACCAAAGTGAGTTATTGACTACTTAACTGGGATATAAATTGATAAATATATATCCTAGTTCTTTTAATTTCCCAAATATGAAGAATGAGCTCTTAAAACATTTCTTACGTCGGAAATCTGCATTTTGAAGAAATTCCCCCTGCAACACAATTGCTTTTTAACATCTCATTGTTGTGGCCTCTCCATATGAGACGGCAAATTGTTATCAATATTGCTGATTCTGTTCTTGTTCTGCCACTATGACCTCTATTTTCATTATTGCCAATCCTACATGTATTTCTGAGCTTCTTATCTCTGCCTATGACCTCTTGTGCATTCTTCTCATTCTTCACTCCATCACAGAAAAAAGGAGTAAAGAATTTGGCCCTTGGAGCCTGCTCCAATTGGAGATTCATGCTTCGATGGCAGTCATACCTCTAACCAGCTAAAATATATTCACCTTAATTCCTTGTCTAAGCCATTCCAGATCCTGCACTCATCCCCTTCCTCCTTTAAAGTTCACACCTTTGACTGAGTATTTGGTCACATATCTTAAGCTCAATGTTATTTTCATAAATTTTTCCTCACACCTCTCTAAAAAATTTTTATATTATATTTTTCCATTAAAGGCATTATACAATTGCAAGCTGCTGTTGAATTATGGGCAGAAACAGAAATCAGGCTGTGTGTATTCAAGCTCATGTCTTACTTTGTACAGCCGCAAAAGAGAAGAAACTTTCATTCCACTGGATATAAAAGATGGAAGTTTAATATACTAGCCCATGAAATGATTCACTAGACCCAACACAATCTCAAACTAGATATGGAAACTGTACCCTTTCTTCCATGTTTGGCAGCAAATTGCTCAGATTTTTAATTTTATTGATGAGGACTTCCAGCTCATTAGAACCACTTGGACTGAGAGGCTCCTGTGAAAATAGAAAGATGAGCAATCAAACATTGGACATAAAATAAACTTGGCCTCTAAGATTTTTCTTCTAATTTAATCAATGGCAGGTTTTGATCACATAATGGACAACAACCCACAGGTACATGTAGACAAATTCTTGTGCAATCTCAACTTATTCTAATAAACCAAAATCCTTCACATTAAAGAAAGAAGGTATTATAAGAATGTGAGTAGACCCTTTCTGAATCTATTCCACTATTCAATTTGATCATGGTTCTTTACCATCTGAACTCCAAAACCTTTCATCCCTCACTTAATAAATCTGTCAATCCAAGTCTTCACAATTTTGACAAAGTGAATGACCTCAGATTTTACCACACTTGACTCCATTTTACTGCTACAATTGATCTGCCTGTTCTGATTAAAATGTATTCTTCAGGCCCACATTATGTGCATGACTCCAAAGTCAGACACTCATTTATAAGAGCTATCATTAGCAGAAGTGCCTCTGAAGGACTGAGTCATCGAGGTTTACAGTATGGAAACAGGCCCTTTGGCCCAACTTGCCCACATCACCCAGTTTTTACAATTTGCCTGTGCTTGGTCTATATCACTCCATACCTATCTCATTCATTTACCTGTTCAAATGTTTCTTAAATGACAAAAATGTACTCACCTCCACCACTACCTCTGGCAGCCCATTCCAGACACTCACTACCCTCAGTGTGAAAGATTTGTCCCTCTGGACCCTTTTGTATCTCTCCCCCCTCGCCTTAAACCTATGCCCTCGAGTTTTCGATTGGGAATAAATAGCAATATAATAACTTACTCACATCCTGAGAACAGGTACAAAATAAAAGCTAACATAAAAGAGGTATTAGAATAAAAATGTGATCTTTGATGAAACATTAACTCTAGTTCTCCATCCACAGATACTGCCTGGCATATGTAATGCTGCTAGCAGTCACAGCATTTTGCTTTCAAGTTTAGCAACTATTCTCAAAGTTAGCAGCTAAAAGTATTGATTTTATATTTTGATATATCCAAATTTTAAAAATCATTTTGTCTTTTCTAACTATATTCAAATTTAGAGTGTTAATAAAAGCAGAAAAATAGGTTCAAGGAGCTGTGGAGACTCACGGTACACAGATTGTGTTTTAATTGTTGTACAAACTGTTATTAATTCAGTGACTTTAACATTATCAGAATCAATAAAGCTTCTACAGCAGTAACCCCTGCACCTCCTATCATTTACCTTTATGTTATCATGACCCTGGGGGCTTCTGCAGAAAGTGGTTGGAAAATTGTGTGGAAATATTTTACATATTAACCTGAAGATCTCAACAGTTAATGATGGAGACTGTGCACAAACATACACTTGATGTTCTAAGAAAACAGCACTAATCTTTTATCATTGAATGCAGGTGTTTCATAGACAGCTTCTGTATCTATTGTCTCAACTGGACAAATGCAAGAAATGTAATGGAATCAGTACTTCGACTGATTTTCCAACTCCACTGCAGTAGCTTCACTGGACGTTCAGCAGAAAATTCATTGCTGTGTACATGATGACTGTGCAGCTTTTCTAGTTACGGTACATGAAGTAGGACAGAGTTAATGCTATCCCTAATAAAAACCAAAAGAACTGCAGATGCTGTAAATCAGGAACTAAAATAAAGTCGCTGGAAAAGCGCAGCAGGTCTGGCAGCATCTGTGGAGGAGAAAACAGAGTTAACATTTCGGGTCCGGTGACCCTTCCTCAGAACTGATGGTGGCTGGGAAAACGTCAGTTTATATGCAGAAAATAGGGAGGTGGGTGGGGTAGGGAGTAAACGATAGGATACAGCCCAAAGAAAGAGAGAGACAGTTGGACAGACAAAGGAGTTGCTAACGATCAGGCTGGGAGGGTGAATATTTGTTGATGGGGCTGTTAGTGACTAACAACAGGGGGTGTGTAATGGTAGGCTATGTGGTAACAAGGCCTGGTGTGTGGGGTTGGGGGGCTGGGACATGGGAGAGTTTAGGCCCTAAAATTATTGAACTCAATATTGAGTCCGGAGGGCTGTGGTGTCCCCAAGCGAAAATGAGGTGTTGTTCCTCCAGTTGTTAATGTTATCCCTGCTTTTCTCATCATGTTGCTTTGAATTTCCTCAGGCTCAACTCAAGATGCATGACTCAGTGAAATGATAACCAATTCGCTTTCTGAAACTGATTCCTTTTCTTTCCAAAGGTTCCAGGTTATCTATTGGTACTCACATGGAATTATGCTGCATGTGAAAGGCAGAGTATCCTGGACAAATGTGGAAGTGTCACAAACAAACAGGTGTTTTTAAGTGTCATTCATATCTTACCTCTTTTTTGACTGTGTTGCAATGGGTATTCCCGGCAAACACTTGCACTATTGCCTCAAGGTTGGTGGACACCAGATCTATCTCCCTGGTGAGAAAAACAGACAGTGAGTTGAAACGGATAGAGGACAAAGATGGCAATGAACTTGAACTAATAGACCATTCTAAAAAGTTCATCTTGAACTTGTGTCTCTGAAGCATTTAAAAACTGGGGATTTCCTCAAAGTTCCCCTGAAGAAATCAACATTCATGTCATAACATGGGAGTCCCTGTCTTGTACCTGGCTAAAATGGAGACAGTTCATCTTGGAAGACACTAATCTATACTTGTTGGAAATCTGCAGAGGCAAAGGTTGGAGAGAGTGCAGAAAATCTCGTAACAACGCATCCAGCCAATCCATCAAGCACCACCTGCCTTGTCTGTGGTAGAGTCTTCAGCTCATGCATTGAACTTATCAGCTATCTCGGAATCAATTGAACCATAGCGGAAGCAAGTCATCTTTGATACAGAGGATACTTCGCATGAAGACCAAATGCCTTTTTAATTAATTTCTTTATTTTTGTTTTACTTATTCATTCATTCACAGGATAAGGGTGCCATTGGCAAGGCCAGCATTTATTAGCCGTCCCTAATTACCCAGAGGGCATTCAAGTATCACCCACACTGCTGTGGCTCTGAGCTCACATGGAGGCAGTTTTCTACCTAAAGGACATGAGTGAATCAGATGGGTTTTTCCTAACAATCAACAATGAAATCATGGTCATCATTAGACTCTTGATTCCAGATTTTGTTTTTAGTATTGAATTCAGATTCCACCATCTGCCATGGTGGGATTTGAACCCAGGTCGGCAGAGCATTACCTGGGTCTCTGGATTAGCAGTCTAGTGATAATACCACTAGGTCATCGCCTCCGCTGTTTTAAGAGGATCAAGGGTTAAGGGAAGAAGGCAGGACTGTAGGGTTGAGAAACATATCAGTCACGATCAAATGGTCGAGTAGACTCAATAGGCCAGACTTTGCTCCTATACCTGATGGTCTATGGACTTAAGCAGAATGTAAATATCTGGTAAGGTAACTGAGGCAAATATTTAGGAAATCAAATGCCTTTAATGCAAGTGGAAAAAGTTATAGAAGGGTAGGGAAATTTTGTAACAACTGCGTAGAGCAATGGAGAAAACCAACTTGGAGAACTGCATTTGGTTTGCTTATTTCAGTGGGAATATACTTGCATCAGGCGCAGTTCAGAGAATGATTGATAGACTGATTCCTGGGATTAAGGTGTTGTTGTCTGAGGGAAAATGAGCAGATTCGGCCTACACTCATTGGAGTTCAGAAGAATTAGAAGTTTTTTTATTGAAACATGTAAGACCCTGAAGGGGTGCCTGGCAAGGTAGATGATGACAGGATTTTTCATCTGATGAGGTAACTGAGATCGAGGGGACAGAGTTTCAAGATAAGGAGTCCCATATCTAAGACAGACCATGGAAGGAGTATATTCTCTCTGTGTTGTTAATCTTTGGAATTTTTGCAAAGAGCTTCTGGGCAAACCACCAATTTGTTCCATTTCCCGACAGGCGACCCAAAGACGGGGCATTGAACAGGCTTCATGCAGGACAGAATTCACTAATCCACCAGTGGAGGCTAGGTCAGTGAATATATTTAAAGTTTAGGTAGACAGATCTTTATCTGTTCCTGATATTTATCAAGTGATCCTTGTCTGATACAGGCAAGGCTTGGAAATGATAAGAGCTTTATATGGCAGGAAGCATTTTATGAATTTGTTTTTCTGAATATTCCTCCACAATGGCTCAGCATGTTGAACATGTTTGTAATAAAACTCCAATTAAAGGACATAAAGTAAATATCGGTAATGCACAGCAGGACTCAACAGTTCTTATGGTTTTTTTTAGTGCTATAATGACCAATTCTGATTATAGGAGTCTAAAAAGGAACAAAATATTGGCTGCTAGTTCATGCAGAGAATCTTTGTTGAAGCGTAATGTTGGTCTACACCAAAATCAATAATATTTCTTTCCTACTTTGCATGCATTGATGAACTATCTGCAAATTTTCAGGGTTTTCTACATTTATTTTAGGATATAGAATTTGCTGCTCTTCAGAATGATATTAGGATATTTGAACATTGATGGGATAGATCCGAATATAAAACAATCTAATAGATAATCTCATTTTGATGCTTACTACTGTGATGATGCTGTGGCTTTAAGAGGTTATTTTGACCTTTTTTTAAAAGAGAGGTTGTAAGGCAGAGGTTTTGAGCAGTCTGCCAAAACCACTAAAGTGAACAATTTGTGAGGACTTGGGTTTTTTTAAAAGTTGGACTAATAGAAGCTGCCTGGCTGGGCGTGGCCAGCTCTCACAGACCAGGATTTGTAGGGGATCTAGGCCCGAAACGTCAGCCTTCCTGCTCCTATGATGCTGCTTGGCCTGCTGTGTTCATCCAGCTCTGCACCTTGTTATCTCAGGATTTGTAGGGGTTTTTTTTTGCTTTTAGGTTTCACTTTAAGCAGTTGCTGTTGTGGGCTTAAAGAAGTGGAAGCTATCTTTTCCCTTTCTTGGTTACAGCTAGAAATTGGGGTTTCTCTCTGCTGCTGGGTTTCCTGTGAGACAAATCACTTTTTCAGAACTTACCTTTTTGCCAAGGGGTGTGTTTGTGGGATGTTACTGCATTGGTATGGTTAGTTAGTAATAGTTATTTTGCGTTGTTAATCTTTGGAGTTTTTACAACAAGCTTCTGGGCAAACTTTGCCAATTTGTTCCATTTCCCAATCTTTAATTCTTTTAAGTTTTCCATTAGAGTTAAGTTATTCTAAGTTCCTCTTTCTTATGTTGCATCTTAACTATAGCGTTTAAATAAGTTGGTTTTTTGCTTAACGTGAAGTAGTTTGATCAAGAGAATTGCCTCTGAAACAAGTACATTACATTTGCCTTTAAAATAAGAAATATTAGGGTCTAGGCTACTTTATTAACGTATTCTGAGGGGGTTCTCATCTGGTCCGTGACGCTACTCCAATAATATAAAAGGATGCAAGTGTCCAGGCTTGCTCCTGAAACTTACCTGTCTAGGTCTTTGCATAACCTCATCATGGTTTTGTTGAGATGTAACAGTGTCATGTTCCCTGCACCAATAGCATCAAGGTCCTTGTGAAAGCTCATCTTCAAGTAGTCACTCAGCAAAGGAGCATACTCACTGTTGTAAACAAGGCAATTGTAATTCTGCACAAGATATGTTCATATGCCCTCAAAAGCTTAGATTACTTAATAAGTATTTTCAACACTGTCACAGTCCAAAGATTGTTAGTTATTCAAGCAGTTATAATCAGTAAAAGTTCAGATGCAATCTAGTCCAAAAGCTGCTCGGTGTGAATCAATCCAAGACAACTGACAATGTAAACACATCAATATAAATTCATTTTAGCTTACTGAGATTTTTGTTTGATTGACATTGCGAAATGTGCAATGCACCCATGCGCTTCAGAAGGATCAAAGTCATTGATTCCTCTGCAGACCATGTACTCTTCTTCCCATCTGTTAGTTTGGAACCCCATTCTTACTATATGTTCAGGCTAAGTCAGTCTAATAAAAACCATGTAAATCCTGCTGAACCCAGGGCTGAGACGCGAAACCCATATTTTGTTTATCGGCAAGGTCCCTTTGCACCAAGTCAGCAAGAGTATCTACTCTTTTCCAATGTTGCTGAAATGGTTGCTTATTCTGATGCTCCATGCAAGTTCCTCCAAGATCACTCAGCTTTTCACCTCCCTACAGCCTTAGCCCAAACCAGGATAACAGAGCTGAACTGTAGAATGAAGTTGAGAGTAACTTTTCTTAACATCACAGCAGCAGTTAAGCGGGTGTGGCATTAAGAGGCTGAACAAAACTATTCTCAATGGGATTCGGAGGACATGTCTCTATTATTGTTGAAGGTCAGTCATCTCAGCTTCAGAAATTCCTCAGGGCAGATATTTTCCAATCGAGCTATGCAGACATGTTATTATACACACTTGAAGAAGGTGGGATTTGAAATACAGCCCCTGGGTCAGAGGTAAGGGCACTAATACAGCTCTACAAGAGCCCTTACAGATATTTTCTAATCAACCTGTCCAGAAATGTTATTACTCGCCTCTGGGTTAAATGGGACTTGAACCCAGAACTCCTGGTTCAAAGGTAGAAACATTACAGCTGCACCAGAAGAGCCTTTACAGCTCTTTAAGTTAGATTTTTTAAAAAAGCAATCTTTTCATACATATTATGACACATCTCTGGTACTGGTAGGAATTGGCTCAAAGGTAGGGGAATGACCACTGCACCACTAGTGCCCTTCAAGTTCCTCAGGGTAGTGTCCTAGGCTCAACTGTCTTCAGCTGTTTCATCAATGAGCTCCACTAAAAGGTCAGAAGCGATGGTGTTTGCTGATGAATGCACAATTTTCAGCGCTATTTGTCGTCCCTCAGAGCACATGTGCATTTCACAGAATCATACAATTCTCACAGCACAGAACAGAAAGCCATCATGTCTGCACTGGCTCTCCAAATGAGCATCTCATTTAGTGCCATTCTCCAGCCTTTTTTCTGTAACTCTGAACACCTTTCTTCCCAAATAAAACAAAGAACTGTGGAATCTGGAGACCTGAAACAAGAAAAGAAATTGCTGGAGAAACTCAGCAGGTCTGGCAGCACCTGTGGGAAGAAAGCAGAGTTAAGGGTGGAACGGTGGCTCAGTGGTTAGCAATGCTGCCTCATAGTGCCAGGGACCCAGGTTTGATGCCAGCTTCAGGCGATTGTGTGGAGTTTCCATGTTCTCCCCATGATTGTATGGGTTTCCTCCAGCTGCTCCACATTCCTTCAACAGTCCAAAAATGTGCAGGTTAGGTAGACTAACCGTGGGAAATGTAGGGTTACAACAATCGGATGGGGATGGGTGGGATGCTTATCAGAGAGTCAGTGTGAACTTGATGGGCCTAATAGCCTGATTAAACTTAACTCTTTTAGTTTGGCGGTTCTTCGTCAGAACAGATTCTTTCCTAAATAATTATCTAATTCCCCTTCGAAAGCAGCATCAATTTACTGCCTTCTCCACACTCTCTGGTGGACCATTCCAGACCCTAACAACACATTGTGTGAAAAATTATTTCTTCGTATTGATTCTGCTTCTTTTATTAATTGCTTTAAATGTGTGCCCTCTTGATTTTGATCCTTTCACAAGTGCAAATAGTTTCTCCCTATTTGCTCTGTCTAGGTTTCTCATGATTTTGAATACTTTTGTCATATCTCCTGACAACTTTCTGTTTTCCAGAATTGACCCAACTTCTGCAGTCTATCTTCATTTATTCGCAATGCTCCAGCTGAGTCCAAAATAACATCTTATACAAGTTCAACACAACTTCCTTGTTGTTGTACACTATGTCTCAAGGAATAAAGCCAAGGATACAGTATCTATTATTAACTACTCTTTCAATCTGTGCTGCCACCCTTAATGACTTTTGCACATATACACCCAGGTCTGTCTACTCCTGCACTTTCCTTCAAGTTGTACCCTTTATTGTATATTGTTTCTTGTGTTCTTCTGATCAAGATAGATCACCTCCCAGTTCTCCATATTGAACTTCATCTATGACCTCTTCACCAACTTGTCTATACTCTTTTGAAGGTGAAAATTATCCATCTCATTGCTTGTAATATGTCCAAGTTTTTATAACATCTGTAATTTTGAAATTGTGCCCTATACACAAGGTCTAGGTCATTAAATACATATCAAAAAAAGCAGGAGTCCCAACACAGACCCCTGGAGCACTCCCTGGCAAACATTCCCCTAGTCTGAAAAAATAGCCATTAACCTGTTTGCTCTCATTTGGCCAATCGTGTATCCGTGTTGCTACTGTCCCTTTCATCCAATGAGCTCTAACTTTGCTGACAAGTCTATTATGTGGCACAGCATCTAGTGTCTTCTGAAAATCCATGTAGACTATCTTAACAGCATTGTCCTAACCAACCCTCTCTCTGGTACATCTTCAAAACGCTCTAGCAAATTAATTAAACTTGATTTTCTATGAGGAAATGCATGCTGGCACTCCCTAACTGACCTGCATTTTCTCAACTGGCTATTAATTTTGTCCTGAATTATTGTTTCCAGGAGTTTCTCAAACTCTGAAGTTAGACTGATTGATCTAGAGTGGCTTATCCTTACAGCCTTTTTGATCAAGGTCATAATGGTTGCAATCGAATCAGAGGGTGGCAGAGACGGCATGAGAGGAATTCTGGGAAATGCCATTGCAGTCATCATGCCTGGTCTGAATATTGCAGAGGAACTGTTGTCAAGGAGTGGTTAAACCCAAAACACTACATTTGTGTAGGGATGCCCGCCTCCCCACCCCCTCTAACCAAAAAAACACTTCAAAGAGGACAGGCAAGGTAAGGCAGATGGCAGTTGGGGCAGTGGTATGCTCCTCATGCCAGATGTGGAAAATCTTGGAGTGGTCTAGTGTCCCTGACAACTACATCTGCAAGAAGTGAGACCAGACGTAACTCCTCGCAGGCCGCGTGGTTCGGTTGGAGATGCAGCTGAACACACTACGGTGCATACAAGGGGCAGAGAGAGTGATGGACACTAGCTTTAGGGAGATGGTTACACCATAGGTCTAGGCAGATAGATGGGTGACGGCAGAAGAGACAGGCAGGTAGTGCAGGAGTTTCCCGTTGCTATTCCCCTCTCAAACAGGTATACTGTTTTAGATACTGTTTGGAGGAGGGGCGGTGAGAGGAATAGCCTGTCTGAAGTTAATACAAGCAGCAGCCAGGCCTATGACACCACAACTGGTTCTGCTGTACAGCAGCATGGGGCAAAGTCCAGGTGAACGATAATAGTAGGTGACTCAATAGTCAGGGGCACAGACAGGCATTTCTGTGGCCGTGGATGAGACTGTGGGATGGTACCAGGGTCCTGGATGTCTCTGAGTGGGTACAGGACACCCTGAAACAGGAGGGAAAACAGACAGAAGTCATTGTCCACATTGGCACACATGACATAGGAAGAGGGAAGAGGTCATGTGAGGACAATTCAGGGAGTTAGGTAGAGAAATAAAAAGCAGGGCCACCAGAACAGTAATCTCAGGATTACCACCCATGCCCCGGGCTAGTGAGGCTAGGAACAGAGAGAGAGTACAGTTGAACACGCAGCTACAGAGCTGGTGTAGGACTGAGAGCTTTAGATATGTGGATCAACGGGATGTCTTCTGGGGAAGGTGGAACCTATACAAGAGGACGGGTTGCACCTGAACTGGACGGGCACCAATATCCTGGGCGGGAGGTTTGCTAGAGTTCCTCGTGAGGGTTTAAACTAGTGTGGCAGGGAGTGGGCACTGGAACAAAAGGCCAGTAAGTGCAGGGACTGCGGACAAAAGAGAGACTGAGATATGCAGAGCGCAGAGTAAGAACAGGCAGGGGAAGTCATGGGGCTCAGAGGGACTGAAGGTCTGGAATGCATTTACGTCAATACAAGAAGTATAATAGGTAAGACAGATGAACTAACAGCATGGATTACTGTATGGAATTATGATGTAATTGCCATTATGGAGACATGGTTAAAGGAGGGACAGGACTGGCAGCTTTAACATACCAGGTTATCGCTGTTTTAGATGGGACAGAAAGGAAACAAAAGGGGTGGGGGAGTTGCATTGCTGATTAGGGATCACATCCCAACTGTGTTGAGGGAGGACTCATCGGAGGGATTTTGCAGTGAGGCGTTATGAGTGGAGGCATTATGATAGGAAGGATGAAATCACAATGTTGAGAGTTTTCTATGGGCCTTCCAATAACCCACATGAGACGGAGGAGTAGATATGTAGTGAGATACCAGAAGGTGGAAAAAAGCAGGTTAGTTGTGGTGGGTGACTTTAGCTTTCCTCTTATTGACTCCCCTAGAGCCAGGGGCTCGGATAGAGAGCAATTTTTTAGATGTGTCCAGGAGGGCTTTTTGAGACTGTGTGTTGACAATCCAACCAGAGAGGAAGCCATACTAGACTCGGTATTAGGGAATGAGCCAGGACAGGTGATGATTCAGTAGGAGAGCATTTTGAGCTTAGTGACCATAACTCCATAAGATTTTGAGTAGTCATGGACAAGGACAAGAGTGGCCCTTGAATGGACGTGTTTAATTGGGCAAGGGCCAATTACATCCAAATTAGACAAGAAC